CTTCTAGCTTCGCCGAAGCGAAGGCGTCCTGGATCGCGGAGAAACCTCGGGGCTCCGGAGGAGTTCTCACCTACATCGTCCACATGGGACGACTCGGGAACTCAACTCCTACCCCGGGCAGCTCACCTATCCCCTTATGCCCAGGGGAAGGGTATCAAGCCGTTTGACAGCAGATGCTAGCTGTCAAAACGGCTTTTACACTGAAACAGGCGGGAGGCAGCAAACAGCTGCGTCCGACGAGGTCGCCAGCCACCGGAAGTCTGAACTCTAAGATCTTGTTCATTCTTCTGATGATCTATTATTAACCTTCTTCTTGACTTCAGTGTGCTTGTGTCTGAAGTATGCTCAGGTATTTGTAGTGATCTTCTTCATCTAGACTCTTGATGTTATTTCTGTAGGGCATCCTTCAGCTCTCACTATTTTTCCCCTACTGATGGTGAGGGCAATACATTTGTCCAGTGCAAACTCCATTGCAATACCTTGGACAGTGTTGAGTAGTGATTCAATTTCAGATAGTGTTTTCCCATACAGCTTCAGATCATCCATGTAAAAGATGTGAGATTGCCTGGCATATGTTTTTGATAATCATAGGGCAACTTTTTCAGTATTATTGACAGAAGAATCAGTGCAGTGGCAAACAGTAGTGATGATAGTGAGTCGCCTTGTAAAATTCCTCTTTTGATATTAATTTGATATCTACCACCATTGACCAGCAATATTATTTTCCATTGTGCCATAGATCTTTGCACAAAGCTGCAGATATTTCTACTGACTTATGTTATTTCTAGACACTTGATTATCCAAACATGTGGCAGGATGTCAAATGCCTTTTTGTAGTCAATCCATACTACATTCAGGTTGGTCTTCCTTCTCTTGCAGTTTTCCCAAATCATCTGGTCAATTGGACTTGATCTTTTGTTCCTCTGCTGTTTGGGAGGATTCCTTTCTGCTCAGGTGGAAAGAGCTTGTTTTCAATTAGATGCTATTGGACTTCATCAGCTACCACACTAGTCAGCAATTTGAAAGTTGT